TAGCCTCGTATTTGAGTTTTACGGTGTGGTCATTGGTGACCAGGCTGAAACCATCAACTCGCGAAACCTGAGAACTGGGTTCAATCACAAGCGGTGGCTGCAACCCGGATTCAAACCCAGGCTCCCAGCCAGAGGTGACGGCTCGCCCGCTCTGTCACGGCATTATCTCCCCGAGTCGCCCGCCCATCTCTCTATGCCAGAACTTCATCAAGAGTCGATGGCTTGGACAACTTTTCTCTCGAACCGAAAATTGTTCCAAGCGCACGTTTAGTGAAAGTCCAGCCAATTAATTGGACGAGCCTGAAAGTACGTCCATCTGCCGTGGAGATGGATCAATGAGGTCAGTTCGTACGCACGTGATCCGTGGGTTATTTGGCCACTATATATTTCCACGTGATAAGCCACTTTGTTGAGCTTTCATTTGTGGGCCAGGTCGCTTCTGAAAAATAACTCATAGCTCAGTGGGCCGTACCTGGTAAAATATAAAAAATAGCTTGTGGTTTTGTTTATAGTTGGTCAATTTGGATACCGTGTGTAGAGGCATAGGGGTAAAAGTGTGGGATTTCATGTGGCTGTTTAAAATTAATGCCGTCGAGTGCCTTAATAATCAACACTTCTGGCCGGCGTGAAAGAGTAGGCCAAAATACCCTTGAGAGGGGGTGTCTAAAGTTCCCTGGGGTGGAGGCCCTTCCACCATCAGTGGCGTAAGCAAGATATTGCAGGGCTTGCACCTTTGCCCATCACCTTTGACACACATGTTTAGCGTGAATTTCAGTTTCTTCGAGGATTTTTTTTAAATGATGGCCATTGTCATTGCCATCATTACAATGGCTACAACAGGAAGTCTCAATGGATCGCGTTGCAACAGAGGTCAAATGCAGAGGGTGCATGGTTCAGGGAGCAGCGGTGCCGGAACATTGAATAATGGGAGCGCGGTATGCATGCTGCGGCTCGCAAATTGAGCCGGTAGTTGTAAATCTTGTGGCGTGTTTACGCCCTGCGCAAGTAAGGTTAGCACATACCCCAAAGCATATCCTTTAGAAGTTTGTCACACTCACGGCCAGTCACAGCTATTAGTGGCCAGTCGGTGTGTGTGTGGGTGTTTGCGTGTCTGTTCAGAGGTACAGACAGCAGCATTGTGAGACATTAGACGCGTATTTATCCGTTCCCGCTTTGAAAGAGTTTCATGGCAGCAAGTTGGTTTGCAGCCGACTGTTTGGGTTATTCTCCCAAATGCAAACCGGCGGGGTGTTGCGGTATTTAAACTGGCCGCCCCTTGTTTTGTTTCGCCACTATCCCTGCAAGTTTGTTGGCGGCAGAGCCACGCGCAGCCACTTTGGCGAGCGCTGCAAGTGACCGTCCGTGATTCGTTTCAGTTTTATTTTTCAATTTTTTTTTGGGTTTGTGGCCGATGGTGAAAGCTTAGCTGGTGTCTCAACGTGGTGCGACAAGTCGTAGGTCCTGCAGTGTTCGAGGTACGTGGCACGTGGTATCTGCTTGGCCCAACTGGCTTCTTGCGGAAGGAATTAAATTCGACGGTAAATGTGAACTGCGGAGAATCGCCGTGACGACGTCTTTGTCAGTGCGATAATTGCTCGGACTTATCCCACTGTGTTCATCGTCGTGTTTTTGATGTTCATTTATTGCGAGACATATGCCAATGTACCCAATTGTGTGCGTGTGTGTATGGTATGCGGGAATTTGTTTTGGTTTGTGTGTGTTTTTTTTATTCAATGTCTAAAGGCAATGCCAATGTCAATGATAATAATAATGGCAATAATGCGATCGATTGTTTAATTTTGTTGGCTGCGTATTTACGTGGGAATTTTGTCATTTATATTTAGTTGTTTTCACTCCGAAAAATCAATGCGTTGCCATTGTTTGATGTTGTTTTGGCTGATGATGTGTTGTCCTCGTCTACAGATATGTGTAAACACATACCAAACAATGCACAATAATCTGTTGCATTATTGACGTTATTATTATTATTATTAACAATGGTACATTGTTTCGATTTAAAGCTTTCGTGACTGCAGGGATTCACCTTCTTGGTTCTTTCGGTAAAGTCACGTAGAAGGGATTTAATAAAATAATAAAAATTAAACATAATGAAATAAAACGACGTTTCGGCCACAACGCAAGCAGCCGTCCTCAGGTGAAGACCAGGTCTGTCGGGGAGACAGCGTCTGAAGGAAGGACGCTGTCTCTCCGACAGACCTGGTCTTCACCTGAGGACGGCTGCTTGCGTTGTGGCCGAAATGTCGTGAGAATTATTTTATTATGTTTTTTCTTCTTGGTTCTTTCGGTAAAGTCACGTAGAAGGGAAGTAATAAAATAATAAAAATAAAACATAATAAAACAATTCTCACGACGTTTCGGCCACAACGCAAGCAGCCGTCCTCAGGTGAAAACCAGGTCCGTCGAGGCGACAGAGTCTGAATGAAACAGCACACGGGCTTAGAGCATATATATAAGCTGGGCGCATTGACAAAGGAATTTGCATATCAACAGGAATTTAGCATATTTATGGGAAATGCAGGAATGTAATTAGTACTGCATATGCATGTGCATTATGCAGGATTAACAGCATCAAAGGGAGCTGCAGTTACTGCTGCTGCAGCAAAATTATTATGTTTTATTTTTATTATTGTATTATTTCCCTTCTACGTGACTTTACCGAAAGAACCAAGAAGATGGTACACTGTTATTTACGAAGCTCATGTGGTGATGTCCTTCGCGACTGAAGGGAGGAGCTCTGAACTCCGGACGATCAGCCTTCGAACTTTAAATCTTTGCAGACTATTTATTTCCGTTGTATCGTCAGGGTTCCGTTCTATTAACAGTCGGAGCAAATTCAATGCGAGCGTAAGCATGGCACTGACCCAAAACGCACCGCAAACCTGCGTCAAGAAACACGATCTCAGAGCTTATTGGCGAACGGTGGAATTCAAAATCAACGGAAACAACCGAACGACCGAACGTGCTCGTCAACAAACGTAAACCATTACAGTCGATCATATCGGATTGAACGAGGGTCTAATGGCTATGCAGCGTGCGTCTGCTAGGACGTCCGAGTGCGAGATGGAGCAATGAAATCGGCTCGTCGTGGATTGTTACATCGCAGAGCTGTGAGAAATAAAGACGGATTTTGGAGGCCTTCATCCAGAAGTGGATTGAGAATGGCTGCCTAAGTTTAAAGGGCGATTCCAGCTGCTATCCATGTCCATGCACTCAACCCATGAATTTCAGTATTTTCTTGTGGGTGAACTTAGCATCTTCGTGGCTCGCATACACGAGCGTAAAACGGCGAGTTTTGTAATCACGTGTCCTCTTTTGAACTGGAGGAAAAGGTGCAGCCCTGCAATTGCTTGCTCACGCCACTGCTCATGGAGGGGCCTCCTCTACGATAAGCTCTATGGAGCTCCTCAAGAGGGTATTTGGCCTACTCTTCCATATTGCCGAATTGCCTTAGAAGAGGGAAGGAGTACTAACACGTTTAACTGCAGCACGCGCAACCTGCTACTTGACTGTGGTGTGTACCGGTGTTATACTGCTGAGTGGACAGAGGCACGGGAGGTGATTTAAAATAAACTTACACCCTAGATTGAACCTCTGCATCTGGTGATCAAACCGGAGACCTCTAGACTCTCCACTGTGCTAACTTGATACCACGATGAGCACGGTCGCAACTCCGATTAGCACGGTCGGCTTTGTGCGGTGCAAAAGAAGTTTAACAAAGATATTAATTCTAGAATTGAAGCTTTCGTGACTGCAAGGATTCATATTCTTAGATTTTTTTTCGGTAAAGTCACGTAGGTAAAAAAAAATATTCTTTTTTATTTTTATTTAACTTTTCTTAATTAAAAAAAATTTACCTACGTGACTTTACCAAAAAAAACCCTAAGAATATTCAACATAGATACATACAACCTTGATTGCACTACGTGATTTTTTGTTGTAAGATTTCGCTTGTCTTTTCCAAAACCGTGTTGCGATTGCGCTATCGGTATCGTGGCACGTGATGAAGACATTTCAATCTGGAAGCCCTTGCAAGCCAGCAGTGCCCTCACTGCGTTGTGTTGGGGAACAGCGGCGGAGAGAAAAAAACGCCACAGAAATTCGGCGTTAGTTTGATTGCAATACAATTCTCGAGCCTTAAACAGGCAACAACTTTCTCTTCACGTGTTGATTGCATTGAAAAAGATCGCGTGTTATGTTGCAATCAAACTGAACATTTTATATGCTTTGTGTCTTTGGGTAAAGTCACGTAGATAGGTTCAAATTAATACAAATAAAATGAACAAAAAACGACGTTTCTATCTACGTGACTTTACCGAAAGACCCAAAGAATATGAATTCCTGCAGTCACGAAAGCTTTAAGTCAAGATTGAACATTTTATATATATAGACATCTAGAAGTAGGACAAATGATTTCACACCCCCGATTTAACACGAGGGTTGTTTTTCTTCTCCCAGTGCGGTCATCGGCGACTGTTTCGAAACCGTCGCCTCGCTCGACCCGAATGCCACTTTCATCGCAGATCGCTCAATTTCGAACTCAAACCCAAGATCTCGGTGTCTCTCACCCCCCCCTCCCTAAACCACCCAGCTATCTCCGTCAATTCGTTTTTTTTCTTTCAACTTTCTGATGTCTATTTCAATACGAAGCCCAGAACAGAACGCAAAACGCGACACAGGGAGCGGGAACTGGAAACCCTGCGGACATTCTCGTCGCTCCATCTCTGTGCTCCTGGGTTTAGGAGGAGGAGGAGAAGGGGGGGGGGGTGAGATTGGGCTCACTACCCCACGCAAGTGAGGGCCGCGAGCAGGGTGCGCGTTACACTTCCATGTCGGCACCTGAACGGAAAAGGGAGGAAAAGCTTCAGGTCAAAGGAAAGACAATAGAGGGAGCGGTGGGAAGCAGGAGCGGATGAGGCATGAATGCCTTTCAATGCAAGCTGCCTCGTTGCTGTTGTTGCTTAACGCTTTGTGATTTTCAGGTCGGGACTGCGGCGGGGTTCTACAATAGTGTGAGGAGGGGGACGAGTGGAGGAGCCTCCTCTGTGCCTTGACTCTTCAGCCAGCCCCGGGGGGGGTGGGGCCCAGAGAGAGGTCCCAGGGCCCAACGCGGTGGCCCCAGAGTGCCATGGCCCTACTCCCTGCGTTGCTCCTCTCCGCTGCCCTCTCGTCTCTCGGTTGGCAGAGACACGTCGACGCCAGCGAGTGGTGGTGAGCGATGGCAGCCGGCGCACCTGATAGCGGACAGGATTTATGGAGGGGTACTTCATCAGGGGCGCCACGGAGGCGAGATGTTAACTAGCTCACCTGGTCTACAGGAGGTCGTGGGTTTGATCCCGACCCTGACACCTGCTGTATATTTGGAGTTTGCGGTGTGTCTCTCTCCCCGTGTGGTCGTGTGGATTTTTCTCTCCACATTTAGAATCAACATCACACGTTTATTTGGCTGCTATAGATTTCCACGCGATAAGCCACTTTGTTGAGCTATCATTTGTGATGGCCAAGTCGCTTCTGAAAAAAGAGCTACACAGCTCAGTGGGCCTTACCTGGTAAAATAAAAATTGGTTCCTTTTTAGTTTAGCTTGCACGAAACACTCAGATAATACACTTTGGATTCAAGGTGTGTGCAGTAGATGTGTATGGGATGCTTCAGTGGTCTAAAGGTTCATGTAATTACCTCTTAAGCTCTCTCTAGTGAAAACCCTTCCACTAGCAGTGGCTTTAAGGAAGTGATTGCAGGGCTGCACCTTTATACTTTTATTTTTTAATCGGATGAGCTGAGCACTTGTGTGAGAGAGAGAGAGAGAGACTACTTCCAGCTGACTCCCGTGTACACACAGCGTCCAGTTGGGGAAAATACATCTGCGGATGACGGGAGCATCCACATATCGATTGGGTGCCCATAGAACATAGTGGGTGGATTAAGAGGCTTGCGGAGCGTGAGCCCGTCTGCCGCTGTTGCAGAGGTGTGCGGTCTGAGCCCAGGGGCCGCCCTGATCAATACTGCTTTAATCATCGGGGTGGCATCGTAGTAGACTTTAAAGATCCCCGTGATGTTATTAAATACAAAATAAAGAGGTGCCCTCGTGTGCCGGCGTCACGGTCTATGTATAAATAGCCAATTACTTAAATTGGAACAACCAAAAGCGACATTCTGCCCTTCTGGCGGGCTGTCGCCCACTTGCAGACCGGGGCTGGTGTCAGCTTGTGCCCACATAGGGACAGCTGACACAAGGGGACTCCCAAGGCAAAAAAAACTAAACTACAGCTGTGCATTGCTATTAACCCTTTCCCGTTCCCAGACAAGTTCAAGTTGCGGAATGCGCGAGCGGTAATTTTATTTAGAGAGGAGCAGCGCCGCTGTTTGTAAAGACATTGTTACTCACCGCAGTTAACTGTAGCGACACGACCGCACTCTACGATAGCTGGTGCCAAACTGTGCCACACGCCCTCCCGCATGGCCTTGTGAGAGCCTCGGTACCGATAAAGTTATTACTATTTTTTATTCCGGTTCCATTCCCATGACGTACGCATACATGTACGTCATCGCAACGGGATCGGGAAGAAAAACGGAATGGGGCAATTTAAACATATTCTTAGGTTTTTTTCGGTAAAGTTACGTAGGTAAAAAATAAAAATTAATGAAAGTAAAATAAAATAAAAATCACGACGTTTCGGAGGCAACACAAGCTTCCGTCTTCAGGTGGAACGATTACAGCACGATTGCTGTATCAAGTGAGCTATCGTGCTGTAACCGTTCCACCTGAAGACGGAAGCTTGTGTTGCCTCCGAAACGTCGTGATTTTTATTTTATTTTACTTTTATTAATTTTTAATTTTTTACCTACGTGACTTTTACCGAAAAAACCTAAGAATATGAATCCTTGCAGTCACGAAAGCTTCAAATCTGCAATTTAAACAGCCAACGAATGCCACCAGGATGATGACGACGACGCCGCCTCGTGCGGTGGGGTTTTTCCGCAAACTCCGACAGGTCCCTTGCCCTGAGCCCGCTGCAGCGCCCCGAAGCGTACCTGCTGAGCGCGCAGCCGCTGTGCACCCAGCTAGTGGGGCTGTCTCCTGGCCAGCGGAAGCTGTGCCACCTGTACCAGGACCACGTGCCGCACATCGCCGACGGCGCCCGCCTCGCCGTGCGCGAGTGCCAGCACCAGTTCCGCACCCGCCGCTGGAACTGCAGCGCCGGCGAAGGAGACTCCGTCTTTGGGCGGCTCACCCACATCGGTACGGTGGAGGCGGGCGGGCACGCGGGGGTGCGCGCGCATCGCCGGGTCATCCGCAGCGACCGCAAATGATCGCTTTTTAAATTTGTATTTTTTATTTTTTTTCAATTCCCTCCCACCGGCACGTCCGAGCCGAGCCAAATCAGAATATACAGAATCAGAATATTTATTTATTCGTACCGGAAGAATCCGATGAACCGCGAAGCTCTTCCTCACAAATGTCCAGTAGCCGTCGAGATTTTTTCCCGCTGGCTATTCCGCCCTTCGAGCCCGAAGCCAACATGCGATACGCCGACCTCGCGAGGCAGCTGAATCTGACTTAACACCTAGTAGGGCCCGGGACGGCGGCTGAATTATTCATTCGCTGGGCACGCGAACGTCAGTCGTTACGACTTAAAATGCAGCATCGCGCCTCGTTTTTAACGCGTCTAAACGTCACACCTTGGGTGTGACGTCGGCAGCACGGGTCGACTTCTGCAGTGGAAAAAGACAACCTGCATCTCATGATATCGTACGGCTAATGTCGATGAAGAGCAACGAGTACAATTACAATTCCACGCTCAGGCGGTCAAGCCCAGATAATATAACCGCATCAGGAGTAGCAGATTGTGTATCGCCGTAATGTTTCCCTTCGTAATTGTGGATTGCCTGGTTCGGTACGACCTCAGCATAGCCCCAGCATTGCTCGGATGTGTCAGTGGAAAAGGGGTAACGTAGCGGTTTGTGCGTGTCATTAGTGGGGGGGGGCAGGCACACTATGGAAATCTGGGGTGTCCTAAACTGTGCAGGGTTCCTGGTTAGATTACAGATGGGATGTGCGAAGTTCCCCCGCACTTGATCATTGACAAAGGGAGTTCTACTGAACTGTAATTATGTTAAACATGGATTACTTTTTGATGCAGTTTTGGAGGTGATTCACAAGAACAAATAACAGAAACTCAACGCATCTATCCATAACATTTTACAAAAATGAATAAAACATGTAATAGGCAATGTTTAGAGCAACAGCCCTTGTTACGAGAAGAGAGATGATTACAGTAAATGTGCACAACCGATGATCGTACTGGCTGTGTTTGCCTTTTGTATTTAATGGTTCCATCACCATCATAATCCACATTTACATCACCTCAATTAAAGGGAGAGTAAAGACTTTAACACACCACTATTTTTTTGTGGTTCAAAGTTTTGCTTGCAGCTATTCAGCGTATCTAAACATTGTGGCGGTGTTCAGACGCCCACGACACCTCCACATAGCTGTCAACCCAAGCGTTTTACCCCGGATTTCCCGTACAGAGAAATTGAGTTTTCAGGTCCATACGGCGTATACAGCCGTTTCAATACGGGCAAAAAAAAATCTACGTTGTCTCTTTGTTTGTGTTTCTCCCTTGTTGTTGGGACTTTGTAGGATGAACTTTGAGATTTATAATGGCACGGGGTGACCAATACGGTCTGAATTGGTCTGTAATAAGTAGGGCACTGATAAGGGCTTGACAGGTTTGCCTCCAATGTCTGTGCCCGCTGAGACCCCGGGTTCGAATCCAGACCGCCGCCTCTCACCAACCCGCCTTTCCACGCGTTCGCGATTCGACTGCTCCGATAAAAAAAAAACACAAATAGTTTTTTTGCCGGGCAAGCTCTCCGTGTTCCTTTCACGTTCTCCATTAACCCCGTAACCCTCCGCCGTCGATGCCGCCGCAGGGAGCCGCGAGACGGCGTTCGCCCACGCCATCTCTGCGGCGGGGGTGGCGCACGCGGTGTCGCGCGCCTGCCGCGAGGGCGAGCTGGCCACGTGCGGCTGCAGCCGCGCTCCGAGGCCCCGCGAGCTGCAGCGCGACTGGCTGTGGGGCGGCTGCGGCGACAACCTGGAGTACGGCTACCGCTTCGCCCGCGAGTTCGTGGACGCTCGCGAGCGCGAGCAGGGGGGACAGCAGCAGCAGCAACAGCAGCAGCAGCAGCAACAGCAGCAACAGCAGCAACAGCAGCAGCAGCAACAGCAGCAGCAGCAGCTGGCGGCACGACACACTGTGGAGCACTCGCGCACACTCATGAACCTGCACAACAATGAGGCGGGGAGAAGGGTGCGTACGCGACGAGTGTGAGTGTGCGTGGTTGTGTGTGGGGGTGTGCGTGGTTGTGTGTGGGGGTGTGCGTGGTTGTGTGTGGGGGTGTGCGTGGTTGTGTGTGGGGGTGTGCGTGGTTGTGTGTGGGGGTGTGCGTGGTTGTGTGTGGGGGTGTGCGTGGTTGTGTGTGGGGGTGTGCGTGGTTGTGTGTGGGGGTGTGCGTGGTTGTGTGTGGGGGTGTGCGTGGTTGTGTGTGGGGGTGTGCGTGGTTGTGTGTGGGGGTGTGCGTGGTTGTGTGTGGGGATGTGCGTGGTTGTGTGTGGGGGTGTGCGTGGTTGTGTGTGGGGGTGTGCGTGGTTGTGTGTGGGGGTGTGCGTGGTTGTGTGTGGGGGTGTGCGTGGTTGTGTGTGGGGGTGTGCGTGGTTGTGTGTGGGGGTGTGCGTGGTTGTGTGTGGCGGGTAGCGCGCCGGGCTATGAACCCAGCGACCCGAGTTCGATTCCCGCTCACGGCCAACACCGGTGACGATTATCTGAAGTGGTCATTGGCCTCCCCTAGGTCGAATTAGTCTCAAATTAGTACCTGGTGCGATGTGCAAAGATCGCCACTAGGGAGACAAATGCGGCCGGGCGTGGTGTTGGCCACCCACCCCCTCGTGTGCCGTCCCACCCTTAATAGGTGCTCGCTAACAGCGCTGCCTCCAATAGTGTCTTCAAGGCAAAAAAACGTTGTGGGTGTGTGTGTGTCTCTGAGGTTAGTGGCATGGTTCATGCAGTGCACTAGGATCCTGGCCAATCGGCTCGATTTGCACGTGTCCGATAACGGAATCTCAATTCCCTCTCCGGCTTCCATAAATTATGCCTCTCGTCCCTGTTAGCAAATCATCCCTGAATGCACCCAATCGCGATGGACCTTGGGGGGCCGTCCATAAATGACGTCACGCACCTAGAGGGGGGGGGGGGTCAGACATTTGTGACAATGTGTGACGAGGAGGGGGGGGTTTGAGAAATGTGACGTCGCGTAAAAATGCGCAACTTTAAATGAATACAGACAACACGTTCTACTTAATTAAATAGACTTTTAATAAATGTTTTCTCCTACAACATCAGAGTGCAGCGCCACATTAAATACGCACTACAATGACAATAGTTTAAAGCGATTTGAAGCATGTTTTATATTTTTGGGAGGGTAGGGGGGGCAGAGCTTTGTGACGTCATATTTGAGGGGGGGGGGTCTGACTTTTTGTGACGCCGTGTGACGAGGGGGGGGGGGTCAAAAATCGTCCAAAATCGCGTGATGTCATTTATGGACGGCCACTTGCAAGCTAAGCGGCACAAATTGGCGGGTTGTTGTTGTTACGAGGCGCGGAGCTGTGAAGCGTGGCCAGGAGATGACCGTGGTCAGTGTGGCCTCCTCATTAGCCTGCTGGGTCTTCTCCGGGTTTCTCTGTTTGCCTCCCACGTGAAGCCGAACTTGAAAACTCGTTTCTCTTGAGCTGTGGTTTTTTTTTCGCGTGTTTTGCTCGTTGTCCTTCCGCCCGCACCTCCGATTATCACGGTTGGCTGCGTAGGGTGCAAAATAAATTCAACATAAATATGTACTACGTAGGAACTCCAATCATTTAATGAGGCCAAAAATCACAAAATGCAGGACCCTACTTTCATTTAATACTGAGGCTCTCTGAGGCTTTCCTCGGCATATAAAGGCCATCAATTTGCATTTCCTTGCCCAAGAAATAAATCATCTTTTAATATCCCGTTTCTTCAAACTCTCCAGTTGCGTCCACTGTCCCGGAGATGTGATCGCATTTTTGCACCTTATTAATACATTTAAAGTTTAAATCTTCATCCGTGAGAAGATAAAAAATAAATTAAAGGTCAAGAGCATGACGGTGATGTCAATGCAGCCTCCCGTACTTCTGTGATGCCATCGCAGGCCAGTTCCAACAAGCTAGGCAACCTCGGGTCAACATTATAGATCAACTTAATAATGAAAATGGGCTGTCATTTAAAGGCTCATTCGGTTTGGGTTTCGGCTTATTTGTGAAACAATCCGATGGTTTGACCTTTACATGAATGGAATGTGTGATCGTCATCTTAGCGTGGATGAAAAAGTGAACTTTTCCAAAGGAAGGTGAATTGTATATATGTCAAGTCTTGATTGAAGCTTTCGTGACTGCAGGAATCAATGCTCTTTGGTTCTTTCGGTAAAGTCACGTAGGTAGAAAAATAATAGATCACGACGTTGACATTTTTTCGCACCGTACGTAGCCAACCGTGATAATCGTCAGGTGCGGAATTGACAAAACAGGATCATTGCGATGTTCAATCATTTCATGATATCACTGGCACTCAACCATTTGAGTTTGATGCCCCTCCTCGCCTCAGTCAAGATCACCTGTCCTCCCCCGCCCGCCAATTGTTACTCAGGCCACGATACCGAGAGACACGCGGGCTCTGTGATGGTGTCTCTCTGTATCACAGAGCCCGCCTGTATGTCTGCGTCTCACCAGAGGTGCGGGGAATCGTATGCGCTCATAGGCTGATTTCTCCGAATGGCGCACGTGAGTAGGCACGTCACGGGTGTACCGGCGGGTACCCACCACGCGGTCCACCGTGGCTTCAAATTATCTGAACCGTGCGTCAGGAACCACGGAACTTACCCCGCAGTGCAACGCGCAGTAGCCGCGCCCTTGTTTAAAAGGGGGGTGCATGGCCCGGCACTCGGCTGTTAAACAAACTTTAAACAAACATTAAACGCCAAACAACATTCTTAACCACGCGGTCTGCTTTTGTCAATCCGAGCAATTTGCTCCGTGTAACACACGGAGCCTCAAGCAGGGGATGTTGTTGAGCCTTCAGTTTCATTCAGAAAAATAATTCCCTAGATTTGAAGCTTTCGTGACTGCAAGGATTCATACTCTTAGTTCTTTCGGTAAAGTCACGTAGGTAAAAAATGAAATTAAAATTTATAAAATTTAATTTTTTACCTACGTGACTTTACCGAAAGAACTAAGAGTATGAAAATAAATCCCCCACGCCGCAACATCGCTGCCCTGCCGCACAGGGACAGCTGCCAATGGGCCGGGGTCGACTGCGGCTGCAGAGCGGTGCAGCGGTCGGCACGAGATGTCGATGCAGGGTGCTTTCGAGTTGCTGCAGCATGCAAGCGATGCCGCGTCGTGTGTGCGTGCGTTGAACGCCTTTCGCGCCGTACGCGGCCAAGCGCACAGCCGGCCAGCGCGGTTGGCTACGTACGGCGCGAAAGAAGTTCAACGCGGTGCTGATCGGAGTAAGCGCCCTGCAAACGCACAACCCTGATCCGTCGCTTTTCCCCGTTTTTTGTTGTTGCCGTTCGCCGATCGCCGGCGACCTTGGGCGTCGTCGTCGTCGGCGGCGCCGTGGATTTTGCGCGCGACTGCACCAGGCGGTGTACGGGCTGGCGGACGTGGCGTGCAAGTGCCACGGCGTGTCGGGCTCGTGCTCGCTCAAGACGTGCTGGCTGCAGCTCGCCGACTTCCGCAAGGTCGGCAAGTTCCTCAAGGAGAAGTACGACAGCGCGTCGGCGGCGCGGGCCGGCCGGCGCGCCAAGCTCGAGCCGGCCAACCGCAAGTTCAGCCCCCCGTCGGCCGGCGATCTCGTGTACCTGGACGCGAGCCCGGACTACTGCGTGCGCAACGAGACGACGGGCTCGCTGGGCACGATCGGCCGCTCGTGCAACAAGACGTCGGAGGGCATGGACGGCTGCGAGCTCATGTGCTGCGGCCGCGGCTACGACCACTTCAAGGCGACCGTGGTGGAGCGCTGCAATTGCAAGTTCCACTGGTGCTGCTACGTCAAGTGCAAGAAGTGTACGTCGGTCGTGGACAGGTTCGTGTGCAAGTGAAGGGCCGGAAAGGTGGTGGGAAGTGAGGGCCGGGAGGTCGTGGCGGTGGTTGTTGGGGTGAGCCGAGGGTCGGAGGTGAAAGGTCGGAAGGACACTTGATGGTGAGGGTGGTGACATCCGTCGCGTTATTTAAAAGGGGCGAAGGTGCCCGAGACGCCTCCAACGTGGACAGATTTGTACATCTGCTGTGGAGGAGCTCCGGGGGAGGAAATTTGTTGTGTTTGGGTGTTTGTTTTTATTCGTTTAAACGTATGACAAAGACGAGCATGTGGATGGGCCAGTAACAAGTTTTGACGAAGTGGACTCGAGCGTGAATTCTGCCCAGTCTGTTTATTTGTTTTTTTTTTCTCTCCTACAAATTTGTAAATACTCGGTATGCAAAATAATGTTGCCGCCCACAGCAAAACGACAACATCGGCACGTGTGATGGGACTTGCGGTGTCTGTCACTGCTTGTGTCCTGGTGTTGCATTAATTCACCCTTGTAGACACAAAGACAAAGATCCCCCACGTAGCCTTTGCAGACTGTAGGGGCAAGTGCTGCTATAAAAGCCAGCACGGCACACGAGGGGGTGGGTGGCCAGCACCACGCCCGGCCGCCTTTGTCTCCCTAGTGGCGATGTTTACACACCACACCCGGTACTCATTCGATGTTGGGTCGACCTAGGGGAGGCCCGGGAACGGTTCATATAATCGTCCCTGGCTGTTGGCCGCGAGCGGGAATCGAACTCGGGCCGCCGGGTTGGTAGCGGAGCGCGGCGCTTACCGCTACACTTACCCACCGCTCCCCGCTCGCGGGCACAAACGCAGATCCACAAACCCCTCGTCCCCCGCGATCGCTTTTGCAACGCGGGCCGACGGTGTTGCTTGAGAGGTGACGGACGAGGGGAGAGAACGCAGCCCCCCGAAGGTCTCGCCGGCGAGCGTGCCGTCGAACCTCGAAGTCTCCCCGCCGTCACCTCTTGTTTCGTTTGTATCTCCCTTTTTTATCGTTCACTCAGACCATCCATCCCGAGGAAAAAAGTGCAAGACGGCTTTGCAGGTCTTGCTTTTTGATTGACGTGTCATAAATACGACCCCCATTCGGCGAGGCAGTCCCGTCGCCCTCGGCCAAAAACAGTTGGCTTCCGCTACGTTTCAATCGTTGGCCTGCAAGCAGACAGCCGGTAATTAATACATCTGCAACTTTAAACAGTGCATGTGGCGCGTTGTCAGAAAACGCCACAATTATGCTGTAATTGAAGTTGTCCAGGGAGTGAGATTTTATTATTATTATTATTGTGTACTCCCAATTACAACTGTCATCGATCACATCACCTTCCCAGAAAATAAAATTCTGCAGTTCACGTGAATGGAAGTCGGGCAGATTAATGTCATATAATGAGCTCGGCAATCACAACGTTCGCGTGTTTCACATTAAATAAAAAGCAGGTTATGACTCCAAATAATTGGCTTTCTTTATACGTGACGGACACTAGGCCATTTGTTGCTAAACAGATTCCTTCTGATATAAGATTAAGACAACGATGTTGAAAAATTCCTGATGTAATATCTTATGAATCGTGAAGGTTAATTTTAAATCATAAATGGTAATTGTTGTGACTGTAGACTTCGACAATCCTTTTCCCTGTTAACAGATTACTTATTTGTGAATTATTTGTGAACATTACCACAACTAATAATTTTCGACAAGTAGATTGAACAAAAAATGTGGATTTTCCCCTACAAACCGCCTGTGGCATAACAAAAAAAACAGTCGAGTAACTTTGTTTGTTTCTGTTATGACGGCGTGAACACGTGATCAAGACACGCGGTCTTACCCATGGGTGCTGCCGGTGGCAAGATGTTAACTCCCTCGCCAGGTATGCAGGAGGTCGTGGTTTCGATCCCGACCCTGAAGTCTGTGTATATTTGGCGTCTGCGTGTCTCTCTCTCTCCCTCCCCATGACCGCGTGGATTTTTCTCCGGTTCCTCGGGTTTTTCCCTCCACATTTAGAAACCTGCATTCAGAGAATTTGCCGGCGAAACATTTCCACGCGACAAGCCACTTCGTTGAGCTTTCATTTGTAACCAGGCCGCTTCTGACAAAGAGCTAAATAGCTCAGTGGGCCTTACCTGGTAAAATAAAAACCAGTTTTGTTTAAGTCACATGATCATATACTTCACGGAATCTCAAAACATTCGCCGATAACACTGCCCTGAAAGGAAATAATATGCATGTATAGAAAAAAACAGGCTACTATCATATATGAAAAAGAGACATTTCCAGAAATAGCACCGATTATATTGACGGTTTTCCTTTCGGGGCAGTTTGTATTGACAGACTTGTTGAGGTTCAGATGATATTTTTTTAAAATATATATTCTTAAGGGAACCACTGCTGGAAGTGAGGACACTTGTGCACACCGGCTCATGCCCCATAGCCCACCTTGCCGAACGAAATTAAATTTCATAGCAACGTCCATGCAACATTTCCAGTCACCTTAGCTGCAGTGATGATCAAAGGCGACTTCGTTACGTTTGACCGTTTCTGTTCAGAGTCCAGAGTTCTGGCACATTCTAACACTCACGCCTCGGTTGTGCAACTTAGTTGCATGCAACTGCATCGCATATATATATGCGGACGTCTCTGCAACTGGTTGCTTACAGTCGGGATGAACTTCACTCTAATGCCTCGATCTATTCGGCACTGTGTCGTCACACGCGGTTGAGTTTCCTTGCTGCGCCAACTCATCGCTCGGATGTGGACAACGCAATCGCAGGTGATGATGATGATGACGATGACGAAGTCGCGCGATTTCGAGAGCAATTCCATTGCAAGATTCATCTCCGACGTGTGTGTGTGGGACCCGGGTTTCTGTTTGATTCTCTAAGGCTTTCAGTGATATCTTTTTCAACCGTCATTGCTTCAAGGAAGACAAAAAGGGCAGCTTTACAAGAGGCACTTACCATAACAAGCTGCACAATAACCTGACATACCAGCTGGGTTGTGAATGCTGTTGTCGTGATGTCATTGTGCATGGTACGATACCAGTTTTCGCGATTGTACGATGATTGTCGCGATATATAAACGTCCCGTCAATTAGCAAATCGTCTATCTCACACCATGTTTTTTTATTGCATCGCTTTCGTGGCTTTGCACGCACGCACGGTGAAATTAAAAGATGTTTTCGGAAGTGTTTCAACTCAGCACGAGTCTGCCACGTGTTACGTAATCGCCGCAATCGTTGCAACTCAAGAAAACAACCAATGAACAACTCCATGAGTCTAGGTTTCCTTTCAGTTGTCATGCAGGGAAGCAAGCAGGTTTCATTGGGGAATTATAACGATGTATTTAGAGCTTTGATTATATGTAGAGTATTTCACACGGGGAAAAATATCTGTTTGGAAATAAGATACAATTGTTAAACGACACATATGCTTAAGTTTTACCCTTTCTGGCAAAACAAAACAGATGTTAAGATGTTCAAACACCAAATAGATTTATTTCGCAAGGAGTCAAGTTCGCATTAGCTGCAAGTTCTTGTGGTGAACATGCAAACACAACACAAGCACTCTGTGTGGTTAATGCAGTACATGATTCCTTGCAAAAGGAATCTAAATTTCGATTTAAAGCTTTCGTGACTGCAGGGATTCATCTTCTTGGTTCTTTCGGTAAAGTCACGTAGAAGGGAAATAATAAAATAATAAAAATATAACATAATAAAATATGTTATTATATTATTTTACTATGTTTTATTTTTATTATTTTATTATTTCCCTTCTACGTGACTTTACCGAAAGAACCAAGACGAAAAAGGAATCTATTTGGGGTTTGAACATTTTACTGCCTGATTTATTGCCATAAAGGGGAAACACCTGTATTCTCATTTTTAATACTTTGATACCGGTAACAACAACAACTAAAATGTCCCATTGATATTTTTCAAAGATCTAATTCTATTCACAAAACGCAGGGCAACGTTTTTTAATCATGGAACGTCATCGCCACATGGCGACCAACACCGCCTCCACTCACGAGGCCCTCCCCTATCAGTGACAACGAGACGCCACCGACTGCTCTAATAATAATCGTGTGTTATAGCTTTGATATTAATCTTGATTTGAGGTTTTCGTGACTGCAGGCATTCATACTCTTTGGTTCATTCGGTAAAGTCACGTGGGTAGAAACATGTTTAATATCTACGTGACTTTACCGAAAGAACCAAAGAGTATAGCTTTGATATTGTCTCGTCTGTCTGTGTAATTAATCCGACCCGAAGCTAAGCAAGTGCACGTGTTCTGACCGGTCGCAAAAGCTCGGGCAAGTACATTAATCTTGAAAACCAAAAACAAGAATGCGTGAAAGCGGTACGTGTTTTGTTCTTGTAAATCACTCTTTTCTACTGTTAATTTATATTATACCACCACTAAAAAAAAAATGCGTACGTCTATTAAAATGTAGGGCATCGAGTATGTATCGTAGTAACGTTGGATTTATGCATCGGTTAAAGATGAACGTGGCGTTTGTCATGACCTTATAGGTGTACATTGCATTGCATATCTGTCGCCGTGTGCACGGCTGTTGTACACTGTTTATTTTGCCACATATGCTCTTGGATCAATAAACATATTTTTGTGGAATTATCGCAATTTGGCGGAACTTCAGTTGAGCGTCAAGTCAAAGTAATGTCCTACTCACACGAGCATTGAGGTGGCGCTCATCAGCTATTTACAGCGCCCTGCCAATGGTGGAAATTCCACATTCCTCTCTTCGGAGTCTATCCATAAAAATAGCCACTGTTGACTTCCCCACAAATTGTATTTATTTTCCATAATATAGGTTTGTTTGGGTTAGATCGCGTAAATATAAAACCTATATTTACGATCGCGTAGAACATTTACGCGATATAACCCAACAAACCTATTATGGATGATATTGGTCACGAAAAACTACGTGTTGAACGGTGTTTATTTTATCGACCCCTGATGGATGATCAGCTTAGTCACCCCCAACTAAGATATAGGGCGCCATGGTGGCAAGATGTTAACTACCTCGCGAGGTATACAGGAGGTCGTTGGTTTGATCCCGACCCTGACGCCTGTATATTTCGAGTTTTCCTGTTCTCCCCGTGGTAGCGTGTATTTTACTCCGGGTCCTCTGGTTTTTCCCTCTACATTTAAAATTAACATCACGCGTTTAGAGCATTTGGCTGCTATACATTTCCACGTGATGATAAGCCACTTCGTTGAGCTATCATTTGTGTCCAAGTCGCTTCTGAAAAATTGGGCCTTACCTGGTAAAATAAAAAAAAATGTTTATAGTTCATAGGATTTGAAATCAAAAGCTTCCGTTTGCAAAGAGCTCGCTCTACAGCTGAATTACCGAGGGTGCCTTGGTGGCGAGATGTTAACTACCTCGCCAGGTATACAGGAGGTTGTGGGTTCGAACCCGACCTTGACGCTGCCTGTATATTTAGAGTTTGCATGTCTCTCTCCCCGTGGTCATGTGGATTTATCTCTGCATCCTCCAATGTTTCCCTCCACGTTAAAAATCAAAATGCGCTTAGAGTATTTGTCTGCTATGAATTTCCACATGATAAGCCACTTCGTTGAGCTATCATTTGTGACCAGGTCGCTTCTGAAAAAGAGCTATACTATAGCTCAGTGGGCCTTAGCTGGTAAAATTAAAAAAAAAAGTTTATTCCTAAATAGAATTTGAACTCAGAACCTTCCGATGGCAAGGAGGTCGCTCTCGAGCTGAACTACCGACGCCCTCACTCTGCCACTGAGAGGTTAACTTGCACCAATGCCTCATCCCCAGCTCACAAACCAAATCTGTCTGGCTCACTGCAAGAGCCACCTGGCAAGAGAAGAAAAATATTGACTTCAGTTATCTTAGCTGCCAGTTGAACATTTTAAAGGAAACCATTGTTATTTGACGAGTTCAGACCTGAACAGTCAACACCGAAACCCGGGATTTGAACTCGCTCGCTCTACCAATGAGCCACACGGTCGATGGCAATTGTTGCACACCGTTATTTTCCCACGTGCGCTCCTGCACCACAAAAAAAATAAAAACATCTTTTCAGCGGGATATTTTGTGGGACTTCAATTACACAATGACCTTCGCCATGCAGCAGAAAGAAAGAGAAAAAAAGCTAACCTCTGCCACTCAGAAATAAAAAGTCTACGTCAAGAATGGAATGTTGTAATTGACATGCGAACCTGCCCTTGACCTCTCCTCGGTTGACTCAGCCTGCTACGCGAGTACCTGGGGCAGTGGCGTGGTCAACATCAGCACGGCGGCAACAGAGGAGGCCCAATAGAGGGCTGACTTCACCTATGTCTCGCTCGCAAGCAGTGTCCTTAATAGGTGCTCGCCGACATGAACCTCGTTGACATCGACGCGCGAGGTGACGCACAGTACCGGTGCTCGACGGCCTACCGTTCATTGCCAACGTCCAACACCCCCCCCCCCCCCCACACACACACAGCCAGTGCCGGATCAAGCGAGTGTTGAGCCTGGAGCATATATGTTATAAAGGGGCCCTAAAAAAATAAAAAACACTTAATATTAAAACACAATTTGTTTTTACTTGCATGGTAAAGTAATTGTATTATTTTAATTTGCTATACAGCCAGATAATACGACAAATCGCTAACCTTAAACACCCAGTCGTTCGTAAAAGTTGAAGGCGGTATAGTACTATAGTAATAGAGCAAGTGCAAAATCACTGAACCGGAATTGATAGCTTGAAAGCATTTAGCGCGGTGCCCTTGAAAGTGCGGGGCCCGTAGCTGCTACAGATGTAGCTACTACAGATGTAGCTACTACTACTACACATGTAGCTACTACACATGTAGCTACTACACATGTAGCTACTACACATGTAGCTACTACACATGTAGCTACTACATATGTAGCTACTACATATGTAGTTACTACACATGTAGCTGCTACATATGTAGTAGCTACATATGTAGAGCTACTACATATGTAGCTACTTTTGCTAATCCGGCACTGTCCACAGCCCGTCCGTCCATCCGTCTCCGCGAGCCTCTCGGCGTCCGACCTTGTGAGCCGTGGCGAGCTGCAACGGTCTGAGATGACTGCTGACCAAGGGACCGAGTTCCTCCTTCACTTAGCAGCGGATTTCCTGACAAAGGCCACGAACACAGCTCCTGCCCCCTGCCCCCCCCCCTTCCATCGCTCTCCCGTAGGGCCAGACCATCTCACCGACCAGTGTCAGATGGTCTGGCCAGAAGCAGTTGTCGGCGACTTGCGAGATTCGTCGTCTCGAATTGGTTTGCCTCTGATTGGGGCAGTGGTTCTTAACCTGGGTTCGATCGAACCCCAGGGTTTCGGTGAGTCAGTCTCAGGGGTTCGGCGGAGGTTAAGACACACACCCGACTCATATGATTGTGCACCAGTAAAACATATACCTATGTTTTTAATTTGAAAAAATCATATTTTATTTTTACAATTAAGAAGGGTTCGGTGAATGCGCATATGAACTGGTGGGGTTCGGTACCTCCAAAAAGGTTAAGAACCACTGGATTGGGGTCAGAGTTGGTGGCCGTGGGCACAAGTCCGCACATCGGTAGGTTCAATCCGTCAACCGACAGGGCCTGTTATCTGCCGCTCATCCAGATGTATGGCATTTGTTTGACACGGTCACCTCCCCCTCCCACCTCCCCCCCCAAAAAAAAATAAAGGGAACCTTGTGTCTTTGAATAGAGAAGAACACACACACAGTGGGAGAATGAGCACACGCTGTAACGAACTCTGGTGGCTTTGAAACGATCGGCGGTGCCCAACGAAGATCGATGCACCGCTCGACTCACCGCCCCGGCTGGGCGGCGTGGGTCGGCGTGCGCGGGGCAGCTCGAAAGATCCCGTCATCGGAATTCCGCCGGAGACGTCGTGGACCTGACGCCCACGTGCAGACATCCACGCAGCCGTCACCCTACGGGGAGACGTGTCTGTCGTCACGGTCTGATGAAGACATCCCTTGTCGCAGGGAGCAAAGGTGCAGGGCGGCAGCGGTGATGAGCACGCTGCTTGAGGTCGGGGGAGAGGAAAGTGACATCACGTGTCCTGTTTGCCGTGTGATTGGACTCAAACCTGAACTATTGCACTTTGGTTGAAAGTGTAGTATTGGTCGATGATGTCTGCAAATGTTATTTTTTTACTAAAGTGTAAACTGTTACATAAATGTGCAATGACCGGCGTGGTGAAGTATTGTCACGCAGCACACGCATGACTGTCACAGTCCGAAGAAACTACATTTTTTTATTATTTATTTTAATCATAATTCTGTAACGGCGTTTTTTGTCAATCCCCTGCTGCATGACGCCACCCCATGATGACCGCAGCGGTCATCTGTGTTGTCGTTTGACCATACTTCACCATACCGGTCAGCCGGCGGGTTAGTCACGACAACTCTGCATTGCTGTGAAATCCTTGAAAAAAATGTAACTTTGCAATGGACAACCTTTGCTCAACCGTCTCATCATCCTGCGTTTTTTTTATTTGACTCTCAATCAAAATTCGACGGAAACATTCGTCGCGGAGAGCCCAAAAGAGTCGGCGTCGATCGGTGAGTTATGTGCGGCGCTGCGAGATGCCGGCACTTTGGGGACTGCGTCATATTTATTTGTGGGATGTGATTGCCACGCTCGCCGGAGCGGCTTCTAGCCGTGGGCTGCCACGATCATTCACCCAAACCGTGGCAAAACAGTCGCGCGCACCACCCCCCACCACCCCCCCATCCACACACCGCCCCTGTTTTGGGTGGCATTTTGACAGCCGACAGAACACAATATCCAGACTTCAATTAAACAGGAGGGGGATTGTGCACATGGCAACGATTATAATTTTATCTTGTGGCAAAGAAACCACCGTTGCCCTTCTCTATTTTTTTTATTTTAATGGCCAGTCATCCTCCAGTCCATGTGTGAGTCATTACTCAGACACGTTACAAGGTTTATAAAGCCGGATCGTGCATACCGTACACGGGCAGCCACCGTTTAATGCGCGAACGTCACGACGTCTCCCCAGTGAGTCGGGCTCACATCCTGCAATTAAGTGGTAAATGAAAATATATAAAGATGTTGCTTTGAGCAAAAAAAAAATTGTATCTTAATTCTACGCCGCAACGTAAAGCCAGGGCAGTGTGCGTGCATTGCTACACCCCGGCGGACACGTCCGGCATCACGAAGTTCTTGGGCCAATGGGTCAGGTTGGTGAAGGGACGCACCGAGGACCGGTTCGTATAACACTCGGCACTGGCCAGGAATCGAACTCGGCTCGCTGGGTTCAGGCCACCGCACGCTTCTCAACGCTGTGCCCACCTCTCCAACTCCTCCTTGGCGTATCGGTCGAAATGTAAAGCGATTGCGAGCGCGTGTTATGATGCGGAGACGAGCTTGAGTCTCCAGTATTCATCTTCTTGATTCTTTCGGTAAAGCCACGTAGAAGGAAAGTAATAAAATAATAAAAAATAAAACATGATAAAATAATTCTCACGACACAACGCAAGCAGCCGTCCTCAGGTTATTTTATTACTTCCCTTCTACGTGACTTTACCGAAAGAACCAAGAAGATGAATCCCTGCAGTCACGAAAGCTTTAAATCGAAATTTCTCCGGTATTCGCTTCTCAGATCAGAATGTTGCAGCTTGCTGAACGGCTTTGGAAGTTAGCGACGTAACGAATCTCAACCCCGAGTAGTTCCATTTGATGACGATTCGACTCTGCTTCGTCTCAGTTTTCCCACCTCGTTTCGTGGCGATGCAGAGCCGCAAATTTCTTGCTCATGCCACTGCTGGTGGAAGGGCCGCCACCCGGGGGGGGGGGTGTATTTGGTCTACTCTTCCACGATTGACCAGCTGTGTCGGCAGAAGTGGGCCCACCCACACATTATTATCCAACCACACGCACAGCCAATTTATACTGCTGCACGGACAGTGGTGGAGTGATATGGGAATATTTACCTCCACTGCAAATGCCGTTGCAGGAAGGTGGAATGGAATCTATAAACTCAACTATTAACTATTCTTGGTTCATTCGGTAAAGTCACGTAGAATGGAAATAATAAAATAATATTAATATAAAAAAATGATATTTTTTATTGTTTTATATTCGGTAAAGTCACGTAGAAGGGAAATAATAAAATAATATTAATATAAAACAATAATATTTTTAGTTGTTTTAAATTAATATTATCTTATTATTTCCCTTCTACGTGACTTTACCGAAAGAACCAAGAATATGAATCCCTGCAGTCACGAAAGCTTTAAATCAAGATTTAAACTATTAACTATTTTTAACTTTTCCAGGTAAGGCCCACTGAGCTTCATAGCTCTTTATCAGAAGCGAGTTGGCTATCACACATAATAGCACCTCCGATTTGCACGGTTGGCTACGTATGGTGCGAAAGACGTTCAACGTATAAATTTCGATTTAAAGCTTTCGTGACTGCAGGGATTCATCTTCTTGGTTCTTTCGGTAAGGTCACGTAGAAGGGAAGTAATAAAATAATAAAAATAAAACATAATAAAATAATTATTTGGTTATTTCGGTAAGGTCACGTAGAAGGGAAGTAGTACGTGACTTTACCGAAAGAACCAAGAAGACGTTCAACGTAGTAATGCAATTGTTACTCTGGTTCTCTCGGTAAAGTCACGTGGGTAGAAAAATAAAATAAATCACGACGTGATGATGGACGCTTGTGTTGCGCCCGAAACGTCGTGATTTATTTTATTTAAACCTACGTGACTTTACCGAAGGAACCAAAAAGTATGGATTGCTGCAGTCACGAAAGCTTCAAATCAAGGTAATTGTTGCATGGTGAGTATGACTGTGTGTCTTGTGTGAGCAAGGTCTCTGTTCACAGCCGTGCATCGGTGTGGTTTTTGTTTGTATTAGTAAGACGCTTGTTTTATTTTGTGTATGAGTTTTTCTTGTGTTCGTAAGGTCTTTGTCTCCAGCCGTGCGTGAGTGTTTTGGTGCCACAAGGTGGCACTGACTGTCCCCATGCACATTCAACATTAGTCCGGCACGGTATCCATGCTGCGGCCTATGCCCTGACCCCGTCCCACCCCCATCACAGGTCGAGAACAGCTGGGCAATGCCCTGTGGGTGTCTCAGGGTTAATCACGAAAACCCTGCAATTCGCCAAGGGGCCGCCGTCCATAAATGACGTCACGCGATTTTGGACGATTTTTGACCCCCCCCAAGTCACATGGCGTCACAAAAGTCAGACAACCCCGCAAATATGACGTCACAAAGCTCTGCCCCCCCCCCCCCCCCCCCCCGTAATTTTTTGTTATTTTTGTTATTTTCGTTTGATGACCAGCCCTGGCTAACATCAAGGGCGAGTGGCATCTGAACCGGTCACAGGCCTCTCCCACTTCACGACCAACGCTGACCAGCAAAGTGAAATAGAACCAATATCCTCCGTCAACAATGTCACAGTATAGGAAGGCCTTCATCCAGCTGTCAACTGACAAAGAGCTGCACATTATATGTGTGTGGAAAATGCATTACGTATACAGGCAGGAGTGGAGTGGGCGTGCATTGGTTTGCACACTGCATTTTTAACCTGGCAACCTGGAGTTGACTCCCGCTTACATCCATCCCACGCTGACCGGCATGGTTCAATGCAGTCAAACAATTCCCATCACCAACGCGACGTGGAAGGACCTTCATCCCAGCAGGTCATTGGCAAAGGTGTGTGCATTAATAGATGTATTTTATTTTTTACATTACAATTGATATCAATGTTCTGTGCTCATTTTCAGAAACGGGGGAGCCACCTTCACCGACAAGACATCATCGGTGCGAGGAGGGGCCGCCACACATTTGAAACCATTGGGGGTGTTTGACAGCAGCACGATGCTTTTGTGTATTTAAGGGGGGGGGGGTGGGGCAGCACTTCAGGGGCCGCACTAAAGGCCACCAGGGGGCCGTCAGTGGCCCGCGTGCCTTGCAATGAGGAACACCGGTTAAGATAGACAGTAAGAGCAGAGGCGCAGTGGGGAACGCACTCTGTTTGAACCCAGGGACCTGAGGTTGATTGCCAGCCATGGCGAACATCACTGGCAAGTGATATTTGAACTGGTCGTGGGCCACACACCCTACCTCCCCACTCACCCCCCCAACCCCAACCCCAACCCAAACCCCCAACCCCCCCCCCCCAATTCACCGCAACCCACACTGACCCATGGCGATAAAGCAAGGTCAAACAATCCAGACACATTTTTTTATGGGGCCGCGTAAATAATTCTACGTGAATTTGTTTCAAAGTAATCGCAGGAGACAGCCAGGGTTTTCGGAGGATGCCATTGCACATTTATTAGATGTTAAGGATTCGATAGAAAAACGGTGTCGTATTCACGAACCCGTGCAGACCAGTGTGCTGAATTATGGTCAAACAAAAGACACATAACCACAACAGCATTAGGAGACCTTTATCCAGATATGAATTAACAATGAGCTCTACATTATTCTTATTATTGTAATGAGCCCATATGGATGGTGTTTCCATACGTTTGGCCACATCTGTCAACGTCTGTCGTGGCTTCCTTGCGTTAGCCGGTGTCTCCCGTCGCACCGCAGAGCAAATACAAAGCGCTCCTGCGAGTCGCGACGTGCAATCCACTCACCGGCAGTGGACATCAGAAGAGGCTTTGAAGGCGAGCCCCACGTGACACCCATACATCGTCGCCAAAACCCCTGCAAGATCGTTTGCGTCACGTCCTTTCTCATCGTGTGAGCGACCGCCGATCGTGATGTAAGTGTCGGCGCTTTCCAGGGCGCGTGCGAGCGAGTGCTTTTCGCGCGAACGCTGGCGGGTTGTTTTAACGCTGCGCTGACTTATTGAGAGACACTTCAAATGGGCTCCCGCTCTGTCCCGCCGCTCTCGGGTCTCCGGGCTGAAATGACAAAGTGGACAGATATTAATTCTGGCGGAACGAAGTCTGGGCCGCGCGCGTGGCGGCACTTGTGCGTCTCGGCCGTACACCAGTGCGTATGTGGCTTACGTAAACACACCTACGTTCTCTGTCTGCACGTATAAGTAAAAAAACTAATATACATGTTTTTTTTAAACACATCAGCCTTTTGGATTTTTTTCCAGATAATATCATCCGGCAGCATGAGTTTAAGCGAGCAAATCCTGGACCGGTTTCGACCTTGTGGGTGTCATCAGCAGTCAGGCTTGTTAAATGCTGTTGGGTTGTCAGATGGCTTTTGACGAGACAGACCAATGACTAGCAAACATTACATGTATTTGTGGATACCTCGAACGGACGTCAATCTTCGTGTTATTTCCCATGATGCTCCACAGCAATGAATAGGCGCTGACTGACAGCGCTCGTCCCAACAGTCCCACTGGCGATACGGGGCATATTTGTGTTCGTGGGTAGTAAGTGGTTGCACAGTGGTTCCCGCACTGAACTGTTAACCCGGCGACCTGAATTCGGTTCCCAATCACAGCTAACATTGGCGAGTAGCAGCTGAACAAGATTGTTTATTCTGACAACACCACCCCCTTGTTCTGTGTGCTCATCATTGACAAGCGATACAGCGGTACATCTGAACCGCTGCTGTTCCTCTCTTGGGTCAGCTCAGACTTAAGTCAGTGGCTGGAGCAGTGTGCAAACATCAGCACTGGTGAGACAAAGGTGTCTGTGCATGCTGATAGCCACAGAAGAACCATCTCGTGCACCGTGTCAGCCTTAACAAGCGCCCTCTAACACAATCTGCCCTAACAGTCTGTGTGGGCTATATATTTGTACGTGTGTGTTGTGCGTTAATTACTCACGGGGCAGCGATTTGACTAATGTATGTACGTTGAACTTCTTTCGCACCGTACGTAGCCAACCGCGGCGCTGATCGGAAGGTGCGGTTAAACCGACAAGAGTTTAAACCGGCGTGAAAAAAAAATCGAATGCAGAGAGAGTAAGGCATGTTTACCGCATTAATTTACGTTCCTGCCAAAATAACTCAAACTCGACCCATTAGCTCAGCCGTTCCGCGTCCAGGGCAACTTCTGTTCTGCTTACAAGTTCACATGCGCTGAGGGATTTGCTGCGTTGACCGGGTTCAAATATGCCAAGACTCTATGAAGACACACGATATGCACGCGTGCTTTGGCGAGCAATACGTCTTCTGTGCCTGACCTCCCATTAGGAAAAAAAAATCCACTACTTCCAGCTTGAACGCACGGCTCTACGCTAATGGCATGATCAGCAACACATTTTCAACATCCGTGCTGCTACAATGGAGTGAAACTCGTGGGCGGGTGATTTTAAGGAGACTTTTTCCACCTTCAGGGGTGGCTTAGAATTCCTAAGTTCGCATTCTGGTTATGGTCTTGAACATGCCCTTTGGCAGGGCCCGTGCGTTTATCCAAAAAGGGGTGAGGCTCGGCAAGGGCGAGTTTGAAATGTCTCTCCGAATTACACTGGTCAACACACTTTTTCTGGCATAAGGTATTCCAACGGTTTTATAAGGTAATTTTGGGGTGCTGATTCCAAACATGGCATCAGTTTTTGTCTATCACATCAGGTTTTTGAGATATCAAATATTGAATTTTCAATAAAAACTGCAGAAGAAAAATATAAAATAAATGTGCATATCTACATAAAATGATATTATAAACACACTATCCTAAAAATACAGCACCATATTTCAACACTAAAGCAGCCACTGACTCGCAACAACTTGCAATCATAAGTGACAGAGTTAATTTCGGGTAAAATCAATGAAAATGGGGTATGCCGATAGCATAATAAGTATAACCCGTAAAAACAAAGTTTTTCACTCTAAATCCTTTATATGCGTGGCGGCTAGAGTCCTCTCGTCCTCTGGCTTGAGATGGCTGCCACCTATGGGTCAGATGATTGTCTGCCAGTATTAAACAATTGGTAATTAAATATTTAATTTTTTTTCCCTAAACAGTGTAAAATTTTGGATTTTTTTTCACGAACATTAATTGTCTCGCACAACGAGTCTGTGTGCAAAATGTCAGCTCGATTGGATCACGGGAAGTGGGTTAAAAAACGACCGAAAGATTTGCACTGTCGTAAGCAAGCAAGCAAGCACGCAAGCAAGAAAGCGAACTTAATATAAAGGATTTAAAAATGAGATGTGATAGAGCAAATCTCAGATCAGATTTGGAATCAGCACCCTGAAATTAGTCTCAAACAGCTGCAAATGTCCAGGCCAGAAAAAAAAGGGTTTTTTTTGTTGACCAGTGTTTTTCGGCCATGCTGCTGCTGCTGCGTGTATTCCACCCCTTACGATCTCCTAGCTCTACCGTCAGGCCCACTCCTAAAAACCTCGTCCTGCCATCTCACGTTCTGCCTCTTATTTGTTCTCCCCTCCGCCAGCTTTAATTCCATTGTTAATTATAACCCATCGGTCAATCACATTCCATTTACGTTGTGGTTTTTTCACCTTTGTAAATTACACGTTATCCTGGTTTGAAATCTCAAATCTTCACTCGCTGGCTCATTCATTAGCCGATAACATCTCAATATGTAGAGGACCGCAAAGCTTGGGTAATTGTTGGTGTCGGCTAATCGAGTGGCTGCCTTCCAGCTTGTCTGTGGGTCCTCGTGCCTCTGAGTCGTCCTCTCTCCCTTCGAGAACGAGCAAATAATGTGCGGCGCGATACTACATTAAATAATAATGACCATATTAACAATTATTGTTTTTATTGCTCCGAATGTCGCCCCCTCCCCTTGTTACGTTAAAAATCCTTCTTTCCATCCTTTTTTGGCCCACTTGCAACTTCTCCACCTGATCTTCAGTTCGGGACCAGGTCTGTGACCTGCAGGATCCTTACCGGCAAAAATGCAAGAAACGCCCTCTCCAAAACGTAAACATTTCAACGTCAGCCCCTTTGCACGACATGTGTAAAAGTGCAGCCATTCAACGGGAAGCCCTACTTTGCGCAAGCCAGGATGGCCGGCAACAACAACAAAAAAACGTGAGCAGAGGATGAAAGCTCCCTCCCTGTGCCGTGTTGTTTGTTGAGTGATAACTGATTATTTGCAAAATAACCTCCCGTAGCACAGAGGCATTCCAAGACGTTGAATGGAGCCCTCACCTCTGTCAATGCATCTAGCAACACTCAGCCGTGGCCGCAAAGCAGCACTGAACACCTTTAACCCCAGAACACTTGCGTGCCGAATGACTGATGCTGGCCTATTGAACTGAGCTTCATGCAACTGAATCTCAGAAAACTCTCTCCCGTGTTTTAAAACAAAACCATAAAAAAAAACTCACCAAGGTGGACACCTCAATCGCCACCTCGTGTCAGCCAGGCATTCTCGGATAATAATTTTCGTAGCCGAATCCACGGCACGTGCGGGATCTCTCTCTTTCTCTCTCTCTCTCTCCTCCGGTGAGCCGATCCCGTGAGATCAACGGCGGCACGTGCCGGGAACGGAGCGGGCACACGCGCGTACTTCTTACAATCCGGCGTCCTCTTTCGGTACCTTCTGAGTTTGGCAAAAATCCTATCGCCCAGTTGATTCGGGTGTTTTTTTTTTCGTTTTTTTTCATTCGTGCCTTTTAGTTTTCTGGAGAGCACGCCCAATGCGTAATTTTGTTTTGCATTTGTCGTTAAACCCAGATATCATTTGCAAAATAGACTTCTGGCCTTAATTGCCAATTGATCACAATCAGCAGATGCCATGCTCAATTCACTGCTGGATGAAGGCCTCACCCAAGCCATCATCATCTCACAAGCATACATTTGTCGAGCCAAGTTTATTCGTTGACACGTTGATGAAATATTGCAATCAACTATTTTACTTTTGTGGTCAGTTACCCGGGCCTGTTAAAAATCGGTGGCCGCCCTGACATGTTGCTTCCCGAAGGTGGGAAACCCCCCTACAGGCCACGCCCAGCATCACATGCCTCATGGTGTGCGACCCACCACCTCCCATCCAGCGGTACACGTGGGAACAAAAGTGAGACTTTTGCAAACGCTTTTCGAATCGTCCGCTAATTGAGTAATCAAACAATAAGCGTTACTTAGATAACACTGGTCAACAACAACAAAAAAAAATTTCTGGCCTGGACTTTTGCAGCTGTTTTAGACTAATTTCAGGGTGCTGATTCCAAATCTGATCTCAGATTTGCTCTATCACATCTCATTTTTATGCTATCGGCATACCCCATTTTCATTGATTTTACCTGAAATTAACTCTGTCACTTATGATTGCAAGTTGTTTTAGTGTTAAAATATGGTGCTGTATTTTTAGGATAGTGTGTTTATAATATAATTTTACGTAGATATCCACATTTATTTAATATTTGTCTTCTGCAGTTTTTATTGAAAATGCAATATTTGATATCTCAAAAACGTGATGTGATAGATAAAAAAACTGATGCCAGATTTGGAATCAGCACCCCAACATTACCTTAAACCCGTTGGAATACCTTATGGCAGAAAAAGTGTGTTGACCAGTGTAATTAATTGAACAGCTCATTATCACCATCATCTGCCATCGTCAATCCACTGCTGGATGAAGGCCTCACCAAGCCGCTGTCGCCATGTCTCACAATCCCGCCATGCAACAATCCACCCAGCACACCTGCTCATTAAATTGATTTCATCACTCCATCTCCCACGGTGGGTATCCTCTTCGACGCTGCGACTCCGTTATTATACTTCACCGGTGGCCCCATTGTCCCTTCCCAGCAATGTGCCCTGCCAAATCTCACTTACTTTAGATATCCCAGCTCTATATAATTCCTTAACAAGCTTTAACCTTG